CTCTCTCTCTCTCTCTCTCTCTCTCTCTCTCTCTCTCTCTCTCTCTCTCCCTTTCTTGAGTGGCAGAGGCCAGACAAACTAATTTATATCCAGATAAAATGAGTCTCTAATACTCAAAGATGTGCTACTCAGACTGTGACTCATAGTGATTTATAATGGCTATGGGTAAACATATTCCTGGACTATAACTCTGGCAAATTATTAATAATAAAACAAATACATATAAATCCCTATAGGTACAAAATACATATGATTTTTAAAGACAGCATAAAGCAGTAAATAAATTTCCACCTTGTTCCTAGATGCTTCAAGCTATAACCATTAGCCACCCAAAGATATATATTCATTTGGTCAACAGCAAGTACTTACTGGGCATCTGCTATGTGCTTGGGAACTGTTCTAGGTGCTGGAAACACAGAAAAGACAAAAATCCTTTTGTGCATATACTAGTTTCAGGGGCAGATCAGTGAAACATACATAAAATGCATATATATCATAAGGTGTTAGGAACTATATAGAAAAAGTAAAGCAGGGAGAAGCACATGAGATGGGGATGGGCTGCCAGCCAGGAGTGTTGGAGTGGAGTTGCAATTTTAATAGATTACTAAGGAAATGACTCATTGATAAGAAAGCATATGAACAAGTATTTGATGGAGGATGAGGAGAGCATAATGTAAGTCATGGGGAAGAGAAAAAGCAAATGCAAAGTTCCTGTAGCACGTACATTTGTGACATATTTTACAAAGAACAAAGAAGCTGATGGTGACTACAGGGAAAGTGAGTTTCAAAAACTCTAGAGGAAATTATGAAGGCAGGAAGGTCATGAGGTGGGGTTAGAATGGCCTGGGCATTGCAGAGTCATGTAAGGACTTCGGGTCTTAGTCTGAATGAGAGGAAAAGTCATGTAGGATTTTGAACAGAAAACTGACTTCCCTTGATTTATTTTTTTAAGGGATCACGCCACCCATGCTGAAAGTAGACTGTAGTGGAAGTAGGGAAACAGATGGGGAGCTACTATAGTAGGTCAGGTCACTGATGATGACGGCTTGGACCAGTAACTGTGGAAGGGAATAAAAGTGGTCCAATTCTGGATATAGTGTATTTCTTTGAATCTAAGACATCACTGATTGCAAGATGCACCATTATTTTAGGTGCTATAGGTGGAGAAAAAACAGCCATTGAAACTAAGAAACTATGACACAATGCTTTCAGATCACTTAGGGTTTTTACTTCATAGTTTTTAAAAGATCTATTTTAAATTTAGAAATATTTTTAATCATCTGCTACCCTTATACATACAACTGAAATAAATTGAGAAGTAAAACTAAACTAAGGCTTTTTCTCAAACAACTCTTTTTAATCACTTTTGACTTTGTACAACATCAGGAGCTCTTGTGTTAGAGCATTTTGAAAAGAATACACAAAACAATTCAAATCTTTTGATACTGGTCCTTTAAAAAACAATTTATTGAGCTATTAATTGGCACTTAATGAATAGCATATTTAAAGTGTACAGTGCACACACTGCGCAACCATCACCATGACCAAGGTTATAAACATATCCACCATCCAAAATTTTTTTTGTGCCTCTTGTAATCCTTCCTGTTTCTTCCTGAACCTTCCCCCAGGTAACCACAGATGCTCTTTTGTCATTACAGATCAGATTGCATTTCTGGACTTTCATATAATTTGATTTATACATACATACTTGCTCTGTCTGGTTTCTTTTATTCAGCATTATTTTGAGATTCATTAATATTGCAGTACCAATACTTCATTTTATTTTATTGCTGAGTGATAATTTCATCATATAGACATACCACATTTTTTTACCCATTTGTTGATGGGCAGCTGAGTTGTTTCCACATTGAGGCTTTTGTAAATAAAATTCTTATGAACATTCACGTATGGACATACACTTTGATTTCTGTAGGATAAATTCCTAGGAGTAGGATGGCTGGATCATATGGTAGGTGTATATTT